AAGACGAGGGCATTGTTGTTTTATTTACTTAGCATTGAGTCTCTCCAAGTAGGTGACAGCGTAGCGTTAAATCACCATAAATTCAACAGACTCAAGCCACCACCGCACTGCCGTCTATTGGACTGCAGAAAGATACTAACTTTTCAATCTGCTACGTTACTGACTGTACTGAACTGTACTGCTGACACCGTGTCTGCGCTGCAACAGAACGCGTCAAAGCGACCGTTGAAAATCATTTGAACTTCTGTCAGCACGTCATAAATAGAACGAGGCATCAGTTTACTGAATCCGGTGTAGACAACATAATGGGTTCTATTCTACACCGGACGCGAGCGGCGTGACAAAATACAATAGAATTCTACTGTATTTTGTTGCGCCGCGCGATGTGATGATGACCGATGTGATAAGCATGAGTTCTGGGCCGCGGTGCGGCCGGTAAACACCAGCATTGAGTGGCCGCGATCAGCTCAGGTGGCCGTAATGCCGAGTTCACACTGCACGATTTTCAAACTCGTCGGATCATCATTCATCATATCATCATGCAAAACAATGAATTAGAATCATTGTGATATGACGATCAAATATAGCTGCAGGTGGGTGACGGGCGGCAGCAGACTCGGGTGAAGTTTGAGCTCATCCGCGCATCTCTACACTACACTGACCTGGGTCCAGTAGCAAACAATGGAGCGCGCTCTGCTGGACAAACTAAGTAATTACACCATTCAGAAGCATTTAATCTGCGTTATATGTTCTGTAAAAAAAATGTTCATATCGGCGGCATATTTGCCGATACCAATATATCGGCGACAGGCTCATATCCGCCGATAATATCGGCTAAACAATCGGGCTCTACCTCCTTTACTATGTTTCTTATATTTTGACAGAATATTTCTAAGTTTGCTATCAAATACTTCAAAGAAAACTAGAGAGATGGGAAACGTATGCTCCTCATTTTCAAAATAATGATTTATATCTTTGTCATAGTCCATTAAATTTCAATTCTTGCTTTTTTCTATGTCGGTGTGGTGTGCTTTACGATGCTGATATGTTCCCTGTCTTGCATTGAACGTGCAATAAAAAATGCAAAATGTGCAATAAAAAATTAACATGACAGTAAAAACATTAATAATGTTACAAAAGATTTCTATTTTGAATAATTTCAGATAATTCACATTTTTATTTTCCATTTCAGATTTATATTTCAATCTTTCTGTTCACAGAAAAATGTAATCACCTCCACACAATTATTGAGCAAAACAACCATTTTCAGCTATATATAACAGCTATAATAATAATAATAATAATAATAATAATCAGAAATGTTTCTTGAGCAGCAATCAGCAAGATTTCTGAAGGATCATGTGACACTGAAAGTTGGAGTAATGGAGCTTCGGCATGACAGGAAAAACATTTTAAAATATATTCAAATAGAAAGCAGTTTTTTCAAATTTCTTTCAAATATATTTACTGTCTTGACTGTATTTTTGATCAAATAAATGCAGCCTTGCTGAGCAGAAGAGATTTATTTCAAAACCATTAAAAAAATCTTACTAACCCCCTTTTGAATGATGGTGTGTATTATATATATATATATTTTTTTTTTATAATACTTATTTTAAAAGCATGTATTTAGCCCGTATATAACAGCCCACAGTTGCCCATATATAATCGTAAAAACAAGTTTTAATTCAAGGAGCAAAAAAGTGAATATAAATTATATTTATAAGTGTTCAACTCTTTAGAAATTTGACATTCAAACCAACCACAGCCAATCAGCAATCAAGAAGCATTCATATTAATTTTTCCAAACAAGAAAGAACAAGTAAAAAGCATATCGTGCTTTATTGTTTTCACAGGAAGTTCGGCAGCTGCACGAACACTGAAGTAAAGAGCCATTGCTATGGAATGATACACCATCTAGTCCAGGGGTTTTCAACCTTTTAGGACATGCGCCTCCCCAAGTTTGTCTAATTTCACTCGCGCCCCCCCCCAAAAT